TTAAAGAGATATTTTTCCCTTAAGTAACAATTCACAACCCATTCACTCCCTTTATTTTAAATTAGCATTTCTTCTACATTTTCACCTATTAATTATTTCAGTACAATCAGTTGTTACCTTGACAACCTCCTTTTTTTAACTAGTGTGAACAGAAACAGACAATTTTATTTTCCAGGAAAGAATGTGTTCAGCAAGTGACGTCTCTACTAGTCAATCTAAAAATAATCAAAAAGCGTGAACAATAGTACACATGTATGTGAAATATTATCTACTTCATCCAGATACAACATTTCATACTGTATCTAGATTATAAAGAAATGAGTCTGGCACTTGTCTCTGCAGAAAATATTTTAGCAATATCTCCAAACTACCATGTATAATATACCATGTATAATGTACCATATACCATGTATAATGTACCATATACCATGTATAATATACCATGTATAATATACCATGTATAATGTACCATATACCATGTATAAATACCATGTATAAATACCATGTATAATATACCATATACCATGTTTAAATACCATGTATAATATACCATATACCATGTATAATATACCATGTATAATATACCATATACCATGTATAATGTACCATATATAATGTACCATATATAATGTACCATATACAATGTATAATGTACCATATACCATGTATAAATACCATGTATAAATACCATGTATAATATACCATATACCATGTTTAAATACCATGTATAATATACCATATACCATGTATAATATACCATGTATAATATACCATATACCATGTATAATATACCATGTATAATATACCATATACCATGTATAAATACCATGTATAATATATCATATACCATGTATAATATACCATGTATAAGGTACCATATACCATGTATAAATACCATGTATAATGTACCATATACCATGTATAAATACCATGTATAATGCACCGTATACCATATACCATGTATAAATACCATGTATAAATACCATGTATAATGCACCATATACCATGTATAAATATCATGTATAATGTACCATGTACCATGTATAAATACCATGTATACTATACCATATACCATGCATAATATACCATATACCATGTATAAATACCATGTATAATATACCATATACCATGTATAATATACCATATACCATGTATAAATACCATGTATAATGTACCATATACCATGTATAATATACCATATACCATGTATAAATACCATGTATAATATACCATATACCATGAATAAATACCATGTATAAGGTATTTATCAGAGGGTTGTAGTTAATGGAATATATTCGAAGCTTGGACTTGTCACCAGTGGGGTACCTCAGGGATCTGTACTTGGACCCATTCTCTTTAATATTTTTATTAGTGATATTGCAGAAGGTCTTGATGGTAAGGTATGGCTTTTTGCTGATGATACTAAGATATGTAACAGGGTTGATGTTCCAGGAGGGATAAGCCAAATGACAAATGATTTAGGTAAACTAGAAAATGGTCAGAATTGTGGCAACTGACATTTAATGTGGATAAGTGCAAGATAATGCATCTTGGACGTAAAAACCCAAGGGCAGAGTACAGAATATTTGATAGAGTTCTAACCTCAACATATGAGGAAAGGGATTTAGGGGTGATTATTTCTGATGACTTAAAGGTAGGCAGACAATGTAATAGAGCAGCAGGAAATGCTAGCAGAATGCTTGGTTGTATAGGGAGAGGTATTAGCAGTAGAAAGAGGGAAGTGCTCATGCCATTGTACAGAACACTGTTGAGACCTCACTTGGAGTATTGTACACAGTACTGGAGACCGTATCTTCAGAAGGATATTGATACCTTAGAGAGGGTTCAGAGAAGGGCTACTAAACTGGTTCATGGATTACGGGATAAAACTTACCAGGAAAGGTTAAAGGATCTTAACATGTATAGCTTGGAGGAAAGACGAGACAGGGGGGATATGATAGAAACATTGAAATATATAAAGGGAATCAACACAGTAAAGGAGGAGACTATATTTAAAAGAAGAAAAACTACCACAACAAGAGGACATAGTCTTAAATTAGAGGGACAAAGGTTTAAAAATAATATCAGGAAGTATTACTTTACTGAGAGGGTAGTGGATGCATGGAATAGCCTTCCAGCTGAAGTGGTAGAGGTTAACACAGTAAAGGAGTTTAAGCATGCGTGGGATAGGCATAAGGCTATCCTAACTATAAGATAAGGCTAGGGACTAATGAAAGTATTTAGAAAATTGGGCAGACTAGATGGGCCGAATGGTTCTTATCTGCCGTCACATTCTATGTTTCTATAATATACCATATACCACGTATAATATACCATATACCATGAATAAATACCATGTATAATATACCATATACCATGTATAATATACCATATACCATGTATAAATACCATGTATAATAAACCATATAACATGTATAATATACAATATACCATGTATAAATACCATGTATAATATACCATATACCATGTATAATATACCATATACCATGAATAAATACCATGTATAATATACCATATACCATGTATAATATACCATGTATAATAAACCATATAACATGTATAATATACAATATACCATGTATAAATACCATGTATAATATACCATATACCATGAATAATATACCATGTATAATATACCATGTACCATGTATAATATACCATGTACCATGTATAATATACCATGTATAATATACCACATACCATGTATAATATACCATATACCATGCATAACATACCATATACCATGTATAATATACCATGTATAATATACCATATGCCATGTATAAATACTATGTATAATATACCATAGACCATGTATAATATACCATGTATGATATACCATATACCATGTATATATACCATGTATAAAATACATGGTATTTTGGAGATATTGCTAAATGTATCTTCTCCAAAAATATTTCAAGGAATTATTTATCACACAGCTTTTGTGTACTGTCTACTGAAATGAAAGCCTGTTGTGATTTACTATTTTTATAACATGAAAATAAACGGTTACTGTAACACAAAGTAGGGACTATGTTGAGGGTTATTTACTAAATTGAGAATTATCATGAATTTGCCATTCATTTCCAATTTAGGTCCAAAATAGCTGGGACTATATTCCAAGTCAGCTATGTTTTGTTTTAGCTACTTTGGCTTTAAATTGGAAATTCCCCTGAACCATTTTCAGGTTAGTAAATAAACCTTTTATTCTTATGGTCAATGCCAAAATGGACAAAATTTGATAAAAAGCAGAGCTTCTACCATGACATTTTGTCTATTCCCAATGTATGATAAGGGAAGGGAACACAATTTAGCCCCGGGGTGAACGGACCACGGCTCCACCAACAGCCAGTTCAATGTAGGATCCTCCAGCACAATCCTTATTTAAAGTAGGTCTTCCTTTATTGGAGTGCCAATTACAATGGGTGATGATTCCACCACTAAGGGCCTTAATCAAACCTAACACACAAACGTATCTACATATAAAGTGCTTAAAAAATCCATAAATCCATGACAAACACCATGTAAATGTAAGTGCAAATCTACATATCAAATATGAAAAGTGCAAAATATTATATAAAGTGCTACGTGAGAAATGCTACGATGAGCCAATATGATACCGTGCTAACAATGCTACATTAAATGTTTTCTATATTATTAAACATGATACTTTACATCATTCTATGTAATATATATGTAACAGCAAAACAAGATCTGAGAAACAATGCTGAAATAAATTAGCATAACAGATGGCATTAAAGTTGGAAAATACTTTGACAGTAATGGAATCCCAGAACATGCCATGGATCCAAGTCTACCTGATAATATCCAGTGACACGTATATCAGAAATAAACCGTAGAGCAACAAACAAAACAAAAAAAGTAAAAAAGATTAAAAGATTAAAAGATTAAAGGAATATTCACAAAACATAGTCCCTAATCGTGCCACAGTGTTCAAGACAAATAAGCTTATGTATCCAGAAGAGTTCCCTTTTCATTAAAAGTTTAACTCTATCACCACCTCTTCTTGCTACTGGGACTTGCTCAATCAAATGGAAGCGCATTTCAGCAACACTATGTCGAACGTCAATGAAATGTGTATAGACAGGTAAATCCACATTAGCGGTCCTAATAGTGGATTTATGACTTACTATGCGGTCCTTTATGCTTTGGACAGGCTCTCCTCCATAAGCCTTGCCACAAAAGCACTTCAAAATATACTGTAAATGAATCACAAGTAAAAAAAAATCCCCCTGATATAATACTTTCTGCCGTATTGAGAGTAATAAAGTAACACCTGTTTAGAATAAGGATTGTGCTGGAGGATCTTCTTATTTTCCAATTTCGCATCACACAAGTAGTTCTATGGAAGATGTCTCATCATGTGCCAGAGTATAACAGTGATACGCTTTCAGTGTTAGTGTCAGGATTACTGTTTGATCCAGCACGTAGAACTGTACGGCACGGATGACAAATAAGTAATGTATTACCAGTCCTTAGAATGGCCGGATTTAACGTACAAAGAATAGTCAAAAATACTAGCCGAGGTCAGGGAACACAGAAAGGGACACAGCGATGAGAAAAGCCAGGAGTCGAGGGCGGAGCCAGCACCCGAGCTAACCGGCCGCATCCTCAGACAGCTCCGTGCGACACGCTCAATTAACTCGCTCGGAGCCATAATCCCCGCACACACCGGGCACCTAAACCGGTTCACAGCTTACCGACAATATGGGGAAGAAGAACAAGAAGCAGAGGGCGGATCCGGGCATGGGATCCGGAGATATAGGGGCTTTTCTCCGAGCCGCATCGCGGCCTGCTGAGGCCAAGATGGCGCCCGAGATCTATGCCTCACAATCCTCGGACGAGGATAGCTACTATGCAGAGACTGCACTGCTGACCCGCACGCAACAACTGCCACAGAAACCCGCAGACATGGGGGACGCTGCTCCAGCCACCAAGGCGGATATCAAAGCCTTGGTGAAGGACATTTAGGCTATGTTCCAAGCAGACATGGCGCTAGTAAGGGCAGACGTAGCCACACTCACCAATAAAGTGGCAAATGTGGAAGAGGGCCTGAGGGACACTAAACTGGCGCAAAGTGCCACGGACGCGGCGCTGAACTTACTCCGCAAGCAATACGCAGACCAACAAACCCAGCTGGCTGGCATGGAAGACCGGTACAAGGCAAGAAACCTGCGGGTCCGTGGAGTGCCGGAGACACTCACCGGCTCGGAATTGCCGCACTATTGCCGACGGCTGATAGCCACTTTACTTACGCCAAGACAAGCTAAGTTGATCACGATAGACTCTTGTTTCAGACTCACCAGGGCGGCCGCCACACCACGCGAAGGAGCTGGTGACGTACTGATTAAATTTATGCGGGACTCTGACAGGGGCATGATTATGGGGGCTTCAAGAGGCTCCCCCACGGTGGCGTTTGAAGGGGCACAACTAACGTTCTATAAAGACTTCTCCAGACACACCATGATGTGGAGGAAGTCCTTTCGCCCAGTCACCCAGCTACTCCGGGAACAAGCCATCCCCTACAAATGGGGCCCACACCGACTACAGGCAGAAAAGGCGGGCGAAACACATAAGCTGTCTCACGCATCTGATATACCAGCCTTCCTGCAGGCACTCGGCCTTCCAGCGCTAACGACACAGCAGTTGACCCATCCAACATGGACTGTAGCGGAGATTACCCCCTTCGTGCCTAGAAGAGAGGCTCAGAAAACCTCTGCCCTACAAACCTGAAGCAGCAGCAGAGCAGGGCCCACACGCCCTTAACCTGTTGCGCCTGACAAGGGACATACCTGATCCGTTCCACGTTTGTTCTTGGTTATACCCAATACTGATGCTGTTGGTTATTGTTTTTTATTTCTGTTTTTATTCTCCCTTTTCTCTCCACCAAATGCTGCTTCTTAACATTATGCTCTTCCCAAACCCGCACAATACTGGCTCCGTAAGCTTTCATAATAATCACACGTATTGAGCCACTTTCACCCCCCCCCCTCCTAACAACCAGAGTGCGTTACACAGCTCGAAATATACCGCACACTACCTGCTGCACTCTCAGCTAGCGACTTAGTTGACCACACCCAGCTGAGACACACATACCTTCCCTAACTCACCTAACTAAGGTCCCACGCTCAACACTAGCACATTCAAAGGTGCCTTGATACCAACTACAAGTTATACCTTGACACAAGCATGCAGGCACCTAACGCTACACAATGCCTTTAATACACATTATTTAAAAATAAAAACGAGGCTGACAAGTTTCGGAGATGTTGTATGGTAAACTGTGATACCCCATCCTGTATGACTTTTATTGTCTCCCTTTCTTTATTCTGTACCCATAAAGTCTATGCCTCAATAAAAGAAAGAATGAAAAAAAAAAAAAAGAAAAGCCAGGAGTCAGGATACCAGAATACAGAGAAGTCAATAAACAAAGCCAAAGTCAAAAACCAGGTAGAAAACTATAAACAGGAACGCGCTCTCAGACAACCACAAGGGAAACCACGACAGGGCACTGAGCAGGCTGAGAACTGGGCCTAAATACCCCTCCTTTAGTTCTGATAGGCTGTAACCGGCCTTTGACCCCAAAGTCAGTTACCAGGTTTCATTTGCATAATTGCTGCTCAGCATTAACCCTTCTGTGGATTAGGTTGCTGCTCGGCACAACTTTTCCTGTGTGGACAGTAAATGTCATTAATCACTTTTCTCTAAGCGGATGAATACATGACACCAGGTTTCATTTGCACAATTACTGCTCAGCATTAACCCTTCTGTGGATTAGGTTGCTGCTCGGCACAACTTTTCCTGTGTGGACAGTAAATGTCATTAACCACATTTCTATAAGCGGATGAATATGTGACATTACCCCCCACCTGAAGAACGCCCACCGGGCGGACAGGACCAGGCTTGAGAGGAAATTTAGCGTGAAAAGCGCGGATCTTATGGCCCACATGCAGGTCAGGAGCCGAAACCCAAGAACGATCAGCAGGACCGTAACCTTTCCAAACAACCAAGTACTGTAAAGTTCCCCGAGAAAACCTAGAATCCACGATAGAAGATACCTCATACTCTTCCTGACCACCCACCACCACCGGAGGGGGAGGAACACAAGGAACAGTATATCTATTGCAGACAAGAGGTTTGAGTAAGGACACATGAAAAGTGTTGGGAATCCCTAAAGATGCAGGAAGAGCCAGAGAGTAAAACACTGGATTGATCCTACAAAGCACTCTATAGGGACCAAGGAATCTGGGGGCAAACTTCATGCTAGGGACCTTAAGCTTGATGTTGCGAGATGACAACCAAACCCGGTCCCCCACTTGGTACACCGGGTTGGCACTTCTACGCTTATCAGCAAAATGTTTGAAGCGTTCAGCAGCAGCCCCTAGAGCAGTTTGAACCTTAACCCAGGTATCCCGAATGGAGGCCAGACGCTCATCCAGAACAGGAATGGCAGTATCAGAAAATACCGCAGGGAGAACCGTAGGATGCCTACCATTATTGACAAAAAATGGACTGTGCCCAGAGGAGTCATGAACAGCATTGTTTCTAGCGAACTCGGCCCACGGGAGTAGTTCGGACCAATTGTCTTGTGTGCTATTAATAAAACAACGCAAATAAACTTCTAATGACTGGTTAGCCCTCTCAGCTGTACCATTGGTCTGTGGATGGTAGGAGGAGGAGAAGGAGAGATCAATCCCCAATTGTTTACTGAACGCCCTCCAGAACCTGGACACAAACTGAGAGCCCCTATCAGACACAATATTGTGGGGGATGCCATGCAAACGGACAATTTCACGTATGAAAATTAGGACCAAATCTTGCGAAGATGGCAACTTCTTGAGAGGAATGAAGTGAGCCATCTTAGAAAATCGGTCTACAACCATGAGAATAGTAGTGAACCCAGCAGAGCTAGGAAGCTCAACAATAAAGTCCATGGATAGGTGGGACCATGGAATCTCAGGAACAGGAAGAGGCTGCAACAGGCCACAAGGAAGTGCATGAGTCACCTTAGAAACTGCACACACAGAACATGCCTGCACATACTCCTTTACATCTTTCCTGAGTGAATCCCACCAAAATGATCTAGTGATCGCGGCAGTGGACTTATTGATGCCCGGGTGTCCAGCAGTTATATTGTCATGGAACACTTTCATGATATTAACCCTTTCACATAGGGGAACGAACAGTTTATCACACGGTTTACCACTGGGCGCCTGAGGCTGGGCCTCCAGTATGGTGCCAAGCAGTGGAGAAGACAGTGAGAGGACAGTAGTAGCAATAATACACTCTGCTGGAATAATAGGAGATGTCATCTGTTCCGGAGCTGACTCATTATCAAATTGCCTGGACAAGGCATCAGCCTTGGTATTTTTAGAACCAGGTCTATAAGTAATGAGAAAGTTAAAACGTGAAAGGAACAGTGACCATCTAGCCTGTCTGGAAGACAAATGTTTGGCATCCCCTATATATGCCAGATTTTTGTGGTCGGTTATGATCAACAGGGGGTCCTTGGAACCCTCCAAAAGATGTCGCCACTCCTTGAGGGCAAGAATAATGGCCAACAGTTCTCTATTGCCAATATCATAGTTGCGCTCAGCAGGAGACATCTTTCTGGAGAAGTAGCCACAAGGATGCAATGGTGTTCCCTGGCTTTCTCTCTGAGAGAGAACAGCCCCTACCCCTGTCTCGGATGCATCAACCTCCAATATAAAAGGTTTACTGGTGTCAGGATGTTTTAGTATGTCCGCAGAGGCAAATCTTTGTTTAAGAGTCTCAAAAGCATTCACAGCCTCTTTGGACCATACGTGCTACTAACCCCTTTGCGAGTCATATTTGTGATTGGGGCTATTACAGAAGAAAATCCCTTGATGAATCTTCTGTAATAGTTGGCAAAACCAATAAACCTTTGAATGGCTTTTAAACCAGAGGGTAATGGCCAGTGTAGTACAGCCTCTAGTTTTTTAGGATCCATTTGAAATCCCGATGCAGAGATGTTGTAACCCAAAAAGTGGACTTCAGGCTGGTCAAATATGCACTTTTCTAATTTACAATAAAGTTTATTTTTCAACAACGTCTGCAGAACCTGTTTCACATGGGAGTGGTGAGTTTGAAGATCAGGGGAATACACCAAAATATCGTCCAAATAAACCAAGACAAATGAGTAAATGAATTCCCTGAGTACATCATTTATAAAGTCTTGGAATACGGCCGGGGCGTTGCATAACCCAAATGGCATTACCAGATATTCATAGTGTCCACTACGGGTATTAAATGCCGTCTTCCACTCATGATTCTCTTTAATTCTAACCAAATTGTAAGCGCTCCTAAGGTCAAGCTTAGTAAATACTTTAGCTCCCTGAAGTCTATCGAACAATTCGGAAATGAGTGGAATAGGGTATGCATTTTTTACAGTGATTTTATTAAGTGCCCTGTAGTCTATGCAAGGGCGTAACTCACCACCCTTTTTCTCAACAAAAAAGAATCCTGCACCAGCTGGTGAGGATGACTTTCTTATGTGCCCTTTGCTCAAGGATTCTTTGATGTATTCCTCCATTATTTTACTCTCCTGGGGAGATAAGGCATAAACTGCCCCCTTAGGTGGCATAGCGCCTGGAAACAGGTTAATGGCACAGTCATATGCTCTGTGGGGAGGCAATACATCGGATTGAGCCTTGTTAAACACCTCCTGAAGTTCTCGGTATTGTATGGGAACTCCAGGAGTTTGGGGAGTGGTAGTGGGAAGGTCAATAGTATCCAATCTCTTTAGTACTGGTTTTATACATCTCCCCATACACTCTTTACCCCATTCTAATATCTCCCCATTAGCCCAGTCAATATAGGGATTGTGCTTACTCAGCCACGGAAACCCTAATATGATAGGACATGATGGAGAAGTAATAACCTGAAGCGTCATCTCCTCCCTATGGGAGGCCCCAATGGAGATCGTAATAGGGACAGTTTCGTGGGTTATAAGCGGTTGTGTGAGTGGTCTACCATCAATAGCCTCTACAGCTAGCGGCGTAGGTCTCTCCCTGACCGGTATCTCATTACCCCTAATAAACTGGACATCAATAAAATTTCCAGCAGCACCTGAGTCCATTAGGGCACTGCAAGAAAACTTCTTGTTATCAAGGGAAATAGATACCTCAAGGAGGAATCTACTTTTGTTTTTGTTAGAGGACAACTCCATCACACCTAAGATCTGTCCCCTTAAGGTTCTTAGGTGCGGAAGTTTTCCGGACGCACTGGACAATTAGTTATCATATGTCCCTTTCTACCGCAATATAGGCATAACCCCTCCCTTCTCCTATACTGTTTTTCGGCCTCTGACAGTCTAGTGACCCCCAACTGCATAGGTTCGGGTTCGGACTGTACAGGGAGGTTAGACAAAACAGGTTTAGAGAATTGAGGTGCTAGGGACATAGCCGTACGTCTGGTCTTGCTTCTGGTGACTTCTCTGAGTCTTAACCTATTATCAATATGCATGACAAACGTAATAAATTCGTTAAGACTCTTAGGTAATTCTTTAGCGGCTATCTCATCTAGTATAGTCTCTGAGAGACCCTTTTTGAATGCTGAGATTAACCCATTGTTAGTCCAGTCTACCTCGGAAGCTAAGGTACGGAATTCAATAGCATAATCCGAGATAGACCGGTTACCTTGTCTGATGTGCATTAGGGCAGTGGAGGCGTCATCCTCTCTACCCAATGGCTCAAACGTGAGCTTGAATTCGGCAAGGAATTCCTGGTAATTATGAGCTATGCTCCGATTACTCTCCCACAACGGATTAGCCCAGGCAAGGGCCTTGCCCTTTAATTGATTCATTAGATAACCAATTCTTGCTCTGTCCATGGGGAATGACCCTGGTGAGGCCTCAAAATGGTACTCCACCTGATTAAGAAAACCCCTGCATTCCTGGATATTGCCATCAAACTGTAGGGATGGTGATAAGGAGATGCAAGGAGTCCTATTAACAGTGGGTGGAGGTACACAGGGTAGAGGTGCTATAGGAGGAGACGCTGCAGGCTGCAGATGCTCCGTTCTAGCGAGAAGCGTACTTAAAGCCTGAGTGAATTGATCCATGCGGTGATCATTCTCCTCTAATTTCCTCTCGCAAGCAGCTATGTGCTGACACAGTTCTACAGGATCTATGGCCATGTCGTAATGTCAGGATTACTGTTTGATCCAGCACGTAGAACTGTACAGCACGGATGACAAATAAGTAACGTATTACCGGTCCTTAGAATGGCCGGATTTAACGTACAAAGAATAGTCAAAAATACTAGCCGAGGTCAGGGAACACAGAAAGGGACACAGCGATGAGGAAAGCCAGGAGTCAGGATACCAGAATATAGAGAAGTCAATAAACAAAGCCAAAGTCAAAACCAGGTAGAAAACTATAAACAGGAACGCGCTCTCAGACAACCACAAGGGAAACCACGACAGGGCACTGAGCAGGCTGAGAACTGGGCCTAAATACCCCTCCTTTAGTTCTGATAGGCTGTAACCGGCCTTTGACCCCAAAGTCAGTTACCAGGTTTCATTTGCATAATTGCTGCTCAGCATTAACCCTTCTGTGGATTAGGTTGCTGCTCGGCACAACTTTTCCTGTGTGGACAGTAAATGTCATTAACCACATTTCTATAAGCGGATGAATATGTGACAGTTAGAGACCAAGTTAACAGAGTTTTATCTCTGCCTTTTGACAGGCTAAAGGAGACTCTGACAAGGGGAAGTTTATAGAGAAAAGACCATTAAAAAAGTTTGCTGAGTCTGAGGCTTCCACAAAAAGATGTGAATAAATGAATATGAAATTATTAATTAACAGGCGTTGGCAAACTTTTAGTAGTAATGTGCCAAAACGAGATATTAATATTGGAGTGCCGGTCCTATTTTTAAAAACTGAGGTATGTATGTTGCCGTATTTTGCTTTCCATGATTTATTGGGGCTGCAGTTGCTTTGTAGTGTTATATTTGTGCGTATGTGGGCTGTTACAGTGTAGTTTAGGGTATTGTATATGATGCCTATGTGGGCTGTGTATGGTGAAGGCTTGTGGAATTGTGTGTGTGTGTGTATGATATGTCACATTGTGTGATTGGTGGTGTGTGCATGTTTGATTGTCAGTAGTGTTGTGTTTGTGGGGACTGTGTGTGTGTGTTTGTTTGTGGGCTGTTTGTATTATTTGTATAAGAGAGATACATATTATGAATCTCGGTGTATATTTAGCAGTGTGGGTGGCTGGCCGGGTACAGGTCAAGGGCAGGAGCTGCAATAGCTGCTGTGGGCTGCTGTACTCCAGTGCAGATTCTCATTCACAAATGCTGGGAGAAAGTGATATTGAAGATTGAGGACTGCTCAGGTTGCATTAGCAGATATCTGAGGTCCTACTGGGACTCCTGATAGGTTAGAGCCTGTTTGTCTCGGGCAGCCTTGAGAGCCATGCAAAGGAACCTTGAGTGCCGTGCATGGCTACGTGCCATAGGTTGCTGACCCTTGCTCTAGACCCATAAAGCATGTTACCTTGCTGGTGTGTTTTTTGCGCGAAACATAGAAACATAGAATGTGATGGCAGATAAGAACCATTCGGCCCATCAAGTCTGCCCAATGTTCCTGGCTTTATCTTATAGTTAGGATAGCCTAATGCCTATCCCACGCATGCTTAAACTCCTTCACTGTGTTAACCTCTACCACTTCAGATGGAAGGCTATTCCATGCATCCACTACCCTCTTAGTAAAGTAATACTTCCTGATATTATTTTTAAACCTTTGCCCCTCTAATTTAAGATGTCCTCTTGTTGTGGTAGTTGTGCTTCTTTTAAATATAGTCTCCTCCTTTACTGTGTTGATTCCCTTTATGTATTTAAATGTTTCTATCATATCCCCCCTGTCTCGTCTTTCCTCCAAGCTATACATATTAAGTTCCTTTAACCTTTCCATGTAAGTTTTAACCTGCAATCCATGAACCAGTTTAGTAGCCCTTCTCTGAACTATCTCTAAAGTATCAATATCCTTCTGGAGATACAGTCTCCAGTACTGCTTACAATACTCCAAGTGAGGTCTCACTAGTGTTCTGTACAATGGCATGAGCACTTCCCTCTTTCTACTGCTTATACCTCTCCCTATACAACCTAGTATTCTGCTAGCATTTACTGATGCTCTATTACATTGTCTGCCTACCTTTAAGTCATCAAAAATAATCACCCCTAAATCCCTTTCCTCAGATGTTGAGGTTAGGACTCTATCAAATATTCTGTACTCTGCCCTTGGGTTTTTACATCCAAGATGCATTATCTTGCACTTAATCACATTAAATGCCAGCTGCCACAGCTCTGACCATTTTTATAGTTTACCTAAATCATTTGCCATTTGGCTTATCCCCCCTGTTACATATCTTAGTATCATCAGCAAAAAAGATCTACCTTACCATCAAGACCTTCTACAATATCACTAATAAAAATATTAAAGAGAATGGGTCCAAGTACAGATTCCTGAGGTACCCCCTGGTGACAAGACCAAGCTTCGAATATATACTATTGACTACAACCCTCTGTTGCTTGTTACTCAGCCACTGCCTTACCCATTCAACAATATTGGAATCCAAACTCAAAGCTTGCAGTTTATTGATAAGCCTTCTATGTGCAACAGTGTCAAAAGCCTTACTGAAATCTAGGTAAGCAATGCCTACTACACCACCCTGATCTATAATTTTAGTTATCCAGTCAAAAAAATCAATAAGAATTATTTGGCATGATCTCCCTGAAGCTGTGGCTGATGGAAATTGGCTGGTCCTGATACTTAGCTTACCAGTCTTTAACGCAATTATCTCCCAAGCACGAATTATTTACAACTAAAAACATTAGACAAAGTAGGGACTACTTCCTTCTTCAGTGGCTGAATAACCTCCTAAACTGGTATCTGGTAGTATAAGTATATCTCTTCACTGGGTTGCAATTTCAGTGAAATTAAAACACAGAGAATTGAGAAATTAGTATTTCATAAAGAATCTATCTTTATGAAATTCATATTTTTTCAAGGGACACGATAGTGCTGCTTTAGGGGCATATCACAGTAGTTAAAAAGTGGTAAAACAATTGCTTAAAAGGTCACTCCAAAAAGCTACACTTTTTAGCTGCAATGTGACGTTTAAACAACTGTTAGTTGTTCTGGGTGTTTTATTCTTTTTAATAATCTACTTTACCTCTTAGATAATTGGTTTTCTGCCTCTCCCAAACTGCAGTTTTTCAGTTTTTTTGCCCTAAAAATATTGCTGTAAATCCTGTCATGATGTTTAAAACAGAATCATGACTATTTAATTAATCCAATGATCTACTCGTTGCAAAATCCTGTGGTCTAATTCTAATTCTCCTTGACCTGTCTGCGGCTTTTGACACTGTTGATCATCAACAGCTTCTTTTCATCCTCCGCAATATCGTTCTACAAGATATTGCTCTCTCCTAGTGCTCCTCCTACCTCTCCCAGTACTCTTTCAGTGTTTCTTTCTTTGGCTCTGCTTCTTCTCCCCAACTCCGCTCTGTTGGTGTCCCACAAGGTTCAGTCCTTGGTCCCCTACTGTTCTCTATCTATTCTGCCTCCCTTGGTAAACTCATTAGCTCCTTTGGCTTCCAATATAATTTATATGCAGATGACACGCAAATCTACCGGTCCTCTCCTGATCTTTCCCCATCCCTCTTGACTAGAGTCTCTGACTGCCTCACTGCTATTTCTAACTGGATAGCTGCCCATGTCCTTAAACTTGACCGAAACTGAAATTATGGTCTTTCCTCCCTCAAGTGTTGCTACTTCTGTGTCTGTCTCCCTCCAAGTCAACGGTGCTACCATCAGCTCAGCCACGCAGGCTCACTGCCTAGGTGTTCTCTTTGACTCTGACCTCTCCTTAAGTCTATAGCCAAATCCTATCGCTTCCATCACAAAAACATTGCGCGCATCCAATCAGATGCGACTAAGGTGCTGGTCCATTGCACGGCCCTTTCTCGCCTTGACTACTGTAATCCGTTTCTCAGTGGTCTTACGTGCTCCCAAATCGCGTCGTTACAGTCCATAATAAATGCGGCACAGAGGCTCACCTTCCTGTCCGCCCGCATCTCCCATGTCTCACCCTTCTGCCAGTCCCTACATAAGATATAGGGCTCAATTTATAATTCTGATTCTTGCTTTCAAATCTCTACATAATCCTGCTCCCACCTATCTATCCTCCCTAATACACAAGTATGTCCCGTCTAGGCCCTTACAATCTGCTGAAGACTTACGTCTATCTTCTGTCCGTACTCCCACCTCTGATGCTTGCCTTCAAGACTTCTCGAGGGGTGCACCGTTCCTGTGGAACTCACTTCCCTCCTCCATTAGATGCTCACCCAGTCTCCACTCCTTCAAAAAATCAGTAAAAACCCACTTCTTCATAAAAGCATAACAATTAAACTGACTGCCTCTCTAGGTAAACTTATTGCCTCTTTTGGATTCCACTACCACCTGTATGCTGATGACACTCAGATATACCTCTCCTCCCCGGACCTCTCCTCTGCCGTCCTGCAACGTGTCACTGCTTGCCTTTCTTCCATCTCATTTGTGCATGTTTGGTCCATGGTTCTAGGCAATCAGATAAGGTGGTTATTGTGCTTACAGTAACCCTAGAATATCTCCAAGTCAAATAAACAGTGTGTTCCTGTATGCCCATCTCTAACTAGTATGCTATCAAATACAAAAAGCATGTGTTCGTACATAGTCCTTTCCCATAAAATCAGTATATTTTGGCAAGACTGGCAGATTTCTATAATCTGTACTATAAATAAATAACTGGGTACAATACAATTCTGTAACATGCAAAGTTAGACTTTGTGTTTGTGGACCCAGGACATACTTGAAAACAAGAGAAATCTCAATGTATCTTTCCTGGTAAAATATTTTATAAATAAATAAATAAATAAATAGATAATGTGGTCTCAACAAATGCTATTGAGGCCTCATATGATGAGCGTAGGTTGACTAAAACAAATAAACTGTGCTGCTTTGAAGCACAGTTTTATTTATGTTATCTAGCTCATCAGAAACCCATCGATCGCAGCTTGAAACTGGTTGTTTGTAGTCACATTTGCTACACAAATGTATTTAGAAACATGCATTAAACCAGCTCTCTTAAACATGGAGAATAAGTAGAATTTTAGCTTGTAAAGCTATTATGTGCAAATAAAGTGCTAAATATAACAGTATTTTTGTTAATTGATGTTTAATTATCTAAAATATACACTTACAGAGAAAGGTTAGTAAACACAAACACAATCTGTCTAACTGTATGTGTGGTGGGTGTAGGTACACTTATACACACTTATCGTAGACACAGAAGTGAATAATCTTTGCCCTTTTATAGAAAATCTTTGCTTCTTTTCCCTCCAGTGCTGACAGCATACTGTCACTATTTGACCACAAACTGACATGGTATCTCCCTTTTACATGACCTATTGATGGATTTTTTACACTTGAAATTAGCCCAAAGCTTCTTGGAACCTTGTGAATAGACATACCTATTTTTCTTTTATTTTTTTTACTTTGTATTTGTCCTATATTGCTTGATCTGGGACCCATCGGTGAATCACTACTACCTGTGTACTTGGAGTCCTGCAATCTGCACAGGCACACAGTTAGTACATGGGTGCACATGGGCTACTTCAGTAAGGAATCATGTGGAAATAGAATTAAAAGCTCTTGAAGGTCAGTGACTCTGAAGCTGCTGAAAGATTAAAATTAAGAAGATTGCTTTTCCTAAATTGATCTTTTATGTGTTTAGATAACTTCCTAAATTGGTACCCTTATGCAGGAGGACAAATTAGGGAGCTGTTTAGCAGATAGCTCCCTTATTTAGCTGGGTGTTCCCAAATTAATTCATAGACATGAGTCACCAGTTTTCTGAATTGGGAGGCACGCAGTTCACCCCTATAGCACTTTAGCAAGATGAAGTCCTTTAGGGGGTCCTTCAAGTTGCAGGACGAGTTCTCAATGCCAAGTTTCTCTTTCCACTTGTATATCTGCGTATTTCTATTGAAGCAAAGCATTATAGGGCTGGTAAAAAAAAATGTTTTCCAGGGCTGCATTTTATTTCCAGTCTGGCCCTGCTCCCCACATACACATCTTTCCCACAGTACATCACTCCCTACAGCCACATCCTTCTCCCATTACATCACTCCCCACGGACACAGTCTTCTCCCATTACATCACTCCCCACAGCCACATCCTTCTCCCATTACATCAGTCCCCACGGACACATCATTCTCCCATTACATCACTCCCCACGGACACATCATTCTCCCATTACATCAGTCCCCACGGACACATCATTCTCCCATTACATCACTCCCCACGGACACATCATTCTCCCATTACATCCCTTCCCACTGACACATCATTCTCCCATTACATCCCTTCCCACTGACACATCCTCTCCCATTACATCCCTTCCCACTGACACATCTTTCTCCCATTACATCCCTTCCCACTGACACATCCTCTCCCATTACATCCCTTCCCACTGACACATCTTTCTCCCATTACATCCCTTCCCACAGCCACATTTTTCCCACAGTACATACCTCTCCACAGACACACTCTCTTCACCCAGTACATGCCTCCCCACAGCCACCTTATTCCCCCAGTACATTTCAACAGAAATGCCAAATGGACGCACCAGAACTGATGTAAACGGCTGGAAACGGAAAGTTGGAAGGTAACAAGCTCAGGTTGTGGAAGAGTGCGCTGAAAATCTGCAATTAGAAGAAAAAAGAGCTACTTAATGGATGCACATGGCAACACACCAACAAAACGAAAGAGGGAGGACTCGGGAGGGGGTATACAGGCAGCTTTTCTTTGGAAATTAGTGTTATTGTTATTTTTTAAACATTTTATATTTTCTTACACTGTATTGGTCCCTGTAGAAGGTCAATATCAGGACGAAATGCGTAGGACTGCTGCACTTGATCTATATTTTATTTGATAATTATGATACCTAAACCTAAGTTCTGACACAATTGTTACTGGCGTGGAGGTGACAGTCTGGGGTGAAAGTGATATTGGAGACCCCACCCAAGAATTTTGGAGTAGGCACTCAGAGAAGCTTTATCTACGTTCAATATATGTTCCTTTAGCAGTAAAAACTCACTATTCCAGTGTTACTCACAGCACACTCAACTAACAGAGTGTACTGCATCATTCACAGGCCTCCAAACAGTCCCAATTTTGGTGGCACAATCCCTTTTTAGTGCCTTGTCCTTCTACAACTTTGTTCCTTGATGTCCTGCTTTCAGGGACACCAGGGAATTGTCCACAGTGCGAGCACATTATAAGAAGTCTATATCAAGGGCCCTAGATCTATATATGCTGCTACAGGGGATTTGGGGTGGCAAGTGCCCCCCTACTTTATTTGGTGCCCCTTGTGATGCCTCACAGCCTGCAGGGCTGGTGCTGCTTGAGCGCCTTCCCAGAGAAGAGGCTACAGTGGAGGTGGGGAGACCAAACATAAAAACATAAACAAAAGCCCTGAGTGGCTGCTCACTGTTATTTAAAACTAAATATAAATTAGTATAGGGGTCACTATGACCCCCATATTAATAAAAGGGAGGTTAAATCCTCCTGCATGCCCCTACTTGCAGTATGCCATGTCGCCTAAACAGCGAGCAGCCAGTGGCGGTCATTAAAACTACTAGTGACTGGGCAGCTATCACTAGTAAAATAAGGGGGAACCTGGCCCAGGTCCCCCTGTTCCCCCATGGTGGGGAACACACATAACTCAAATAGGGGGACACACAGTGTCCTGACCCGCACCCCCACCCATGACCCGCGGGTGGGGCTATTAATATAAATGGGGACCTAATGTCCCCCCTGGTCCTCACCCATGCCCCCTTTCATTTATTAGGGTCCCCACCGCTCATGGGTGGGGACCTGGGGGGGGTACACATTAGATCCCCCCCATTATTTACTTAATTAGGGTCCCCACCCACTGCTCATGGTCCCCCCCACTAGGTCCCTCCCATTATTTATCTTATTAAGGTCCCCATCCGCACTGTTATTTCTCTGTGCTGTGGGGGCTAATTCCCCATGTTTGCTCTCTAGGTAGTACCCGCACATCCCTAAAGCATAATCATAAAATACTTATTTGGACTAATAGCAGAAAGCATAATTGTCTTTATCTATGATTAACAGTCTCATGGGACCCTTTGGGCGGCATCAGTGATACAATTCGCATCACTTGCCTCCCCCTATTATCCCACACCGCGTTCATCTTAACGGAACACTTATGTTGGGGGATATGCCCTCAAACTCTCCTTGGGCAACACTACAATTGTGTAAAGTGACAGATTTCACACATGCTCAGCCTGCTCCAAGAACTGATGTGTGATATCACACCTTCACTTGTGCTGGACAATAATGAAGTTTGAAATATGAGGAATGAGGAATGAAAATACTCATTGACTCTCTCTTTCATATTTTACTTCTCTTCCCATCAAAATAGCAGCAAATGCTAGACCCAATCCTTCCTAGCAGCAGCAGCAACTAATAGGTCTTCAAGAAACATGGTGGACATGGCATCATTAGTTGAGAGTCGGAAATTCACTCCACACAGCAGAGCAGAAGAGATTCAGAAGACCAGAAACAGAGTAACTGACAGTAGAAAGATGAAGATGTACAATGATACATTGCTTTTCATAATTGAACAAAAGTCTTTCGGAACGCTTTATTAAGGTTTTATTTTACATATGTGAAAGAGTCAGGCCATGTGTCATTTCGGTATAGGAGGAGTTCATGGGGTTAGGAACATATATTAAAATTATATTTTAGGGAATAATGTTCCCACATTGGAGTACATTTTTTGCCTGAAGTGTGTGAAAAGTAGGACACACTGGCAGCCACAGAGTTAAAATTATCTTCAGCCAGCCTTGCACTGATTCTTGTAAATCACTTCTTGCCATTGCATCTGAACAGATGATGAGCTCAGTCAACCTCACCTTCCCGAGTGGTCTTTGCACTTTTCTCCAGGCCAAATGTTTTATAACAATGAATATTTCAGAATTACTGAAAACCTTTTCATTTAATGGCCATAGACAAAACAGAAACATTTACACAGATATCAGATTAAATTCCAAGTATGAGATGTCCTTTTAAAGGGACACTATTTCTGCTTCATCTAATTTAACCTGTTATAGTATCTGCAGTTCCCTGGTGCTGTCCTTTCATTTAGTGTGAAACAGTTTTTAATGTTTTTAGTTTTAATTATAGGCGAGATTCCAAAGCTGCAAATCCTCTCTGTGCTGCTTTGGCTAATGAGGAAGTATTAGCCTGAGCAGCAATGGGAAGCCGTGATTGGCTGAGAGTGTCCGCTGACTGCTTTTAGCCAATTAGCGCTCCAACTGACAGTATGAATGAGTATGACTATAAGGAAATGTGTAATCTCTGCCTTAGCCACAGCTCCAATGGGGGCTGGACTTAGGGTGGCCAGGGACTCCTATTTACTGTTAAACTGCTCAAAAATGGTTTAACATTGAATGGAGGGTGAGTGCTAGGGACCTCTAACCACTATAACCAATTCACAGAGATGAAATGGTTATACTGACTACAGTGTCCCTTTAACTATAAACATGCATTAATTTTTTTCACAACAACAAGGGAAAATTACTTAAAGGGACACTATAAGCACCCAGACCACTTCAGGTCATTGAAGTGGTCTGAGTGCATATTCCCAGGTACCTTAACCCTGAACAGTGATTATAGCAGTTTTTAATTAACTGCAATAATTACCTTAATGGTTAACTCATGCATAAGGACATCCAACGTCACCCGAAACCCTATAGGTAAGCATTGTACAATGCTTTCCTATGGGTCTGGGACTCTGTTCTAATGCAAGGAAAGGTGGACCACGAGCTCGGCGATGGATCAAGATTAGTGACAGAAGAGGTTTTTATCGCCTTCTGCACCACAGAGGGCATTAATGGACTATAATGTGTGAGTGAAAACTGTTTAGTTAATTACTAGTTTGTTCACTACAGAAACTGCAAACCAATGGCATTTACAGCAAATGTAGGGATTACAAACATAAAGTAACATTAACGTTAGGATTACAAACATGTATTACTAGCGCTATATAGGCGGTCATTGCTCCACACCCCCTTTAAGGAAAAAACAAAAGTTTATTTACCTACCTTTTCTCCTTCTAAGGAGTGCGCTCTCCAAAGCCGGCTTCCCCTCCTAGATCTTGATGATCTCAGACAATCCATTGCTTTCCAAATGGCAACATGAAGGGGGCTATTGTGCATTAGTGGCAATATGTCACGCTGCACCAATCAAATGGTTTCTATGAGAACATCTGATTGAATAGCTAAGTTTAACTTGCCTGTGGGGCGGAAGCACTTCTAGTGGCTTCCGGTGTGACAGCACTAGAGGCATTTTAATGAAAACACTGCATCTCCTACAGAACATTGTTTTTTCAGTGTTTTCAGTTTCACAGTTAAACCGACAGTGACATGGCACCTAGACCACTTCGTACTGGTTATGGTTTCACAAGTGCCCTGGTGTCCCCCAATGTACCCAGTCAAACCATTTTTAAATGGTTTGACTCCTTACCTGGGGTCCACCAGCTCCTATTGCTGCCTGAACTACAGCTTGAAGAGAAATGCTTAAAAGCTTCCAATAGGTCTCCCGAGCTAAACCCTGCAGTGCTAGCTCATTGACTAAGAGTGTTGGATGATCACTCTCAGAAGAAGAACGAAGCTCTGTACTGCTGGGCTTAACTCAAACAATAGATCTTTGAAGTCACACCATATTAAATGGTTTGACTACTTAGTAGGTGAGGGTTTCCAGGGCACATCTGGCACCATAACCACTAGAGTGTGAAGTAATGAGTATGTGCTTGGCGTGTTCCTACTAGGCCCGGACTGGCCATCGGGCATACCGGGCAAATACCCGGTGGGCCGCGATGGCCGTGGGGCTGAGGCCGGCAGGGAGATCTCCCCTGCCAGCCCCTGCAGGGCCAGCGCTGTCCGAGCGCGAGCCCTGCTGTGTGCCTCCATGGGCCGGTGGGGAGATCAAAGATCTCCCTCACTGGCCCACAGGCAGTGTTACAGGTGGCCACAGGCTGGGGAGGGAGGGAGGAGAGGACCGGCGGAGCTCTAACCAGCAGCTCCGCCGGGTCCTCTTGCGGAATTCTGAGCGTTGCCGCGGTTACCATGGCAACGCTCAGATCTCGCGAGAGTGAACTGGGGGATATAACTTTTTTAAAATTATTAATAAAAAATATATAAAATTTAAATAAATAAATTCACACTCACACACAGCACCCCCAGACACACACCACCCTCAGACACACACAGCACCCCCAGACACGCAGCACCCAGATACACACGCAGCACCCAGACACACACAGCCCCCTCAGACACACACAGCACCCCCAGACACACACAGCACCCCCAGACACACACAGCGCACTGGCAGCCACAGAGTTAAAATTATCTTCAGCCAGCCTTGCACTGATTCTTGTAAATCACTTCTTGCCATTGCATTTGAACAGATGATGAGCTCAGTCAACCTCACCTTCCCGTGTGGTCTTTGCACTTTTCTCTAGGCCAAATGTTTTATAACAATGAATATTTCAGAATTACTGAAAACCTTTTCATTTAATGGCCCCACAGCACCCTCAGACACACATAGCACCCTCAGACACACACAGCACCCTCAGACACACACGCAGCACCCAGACACACGCAGCACCCCCAGACACACGCAGCACCCTCAGACACACACAGCCCCCTCAGACACACACAGCCCCCTCAGACACACACAGCACCCTCAGACACACACGCAGCACCCAGACACACACAGCACCCCCAGACACACAGCACCCTCAGACACACACAGCACCCAGATACACACGAAGCACCCTCAGACGGACACTGCTCCCCCAGACACACAGCACCCTCACTCACACAGCATACTCCCACACATATACAACACCCACACACCCACATATATATATAAGAAATAAAATAACTCTCAGTGAGTTAACAGACAAAAAAAATTTAGAAACCTAGAATGTGACGGCAGATAAAAACACCCTCACACACAGCACCCCTCTTACATACACACACACACTGCGCCCCTCACACATACAATACGTCCAAATATATATATATATACACACTACAGCACCCCTCACACGGCACCACTACACACATTACGCTCCAGATACACACTAGATCCCTTAACCTATATGCACTCTTAATCCTCTACACACACACAATCTCCTATACACACTCTGAGTCCTTTACACACTAGATCTCCTACACACTGCCCCTAGCCACACATATTACACCACAAACACAAATGAAATTGACCTATTTACACAATACCACACTCTACACACACGCAGTCCCACAAGAAAGCTCCAAACACATACCAGAGGATGTCCTCTGGTATCCCACTGGAGACACCAGAGACAATTTAAAAGCAAACACAGCGCAAGCATGTTATTAAATTTGCTTGCACTGCGCAGAACAAATACAGGGCCTTTTTCTAATGCTAGAGCTCTTCAGCGGGGCTCTGCACATTGAACGAACATGCTCACTTTGAAAGGGGGAGTGCTTGTCATTAGTGATGACAAAACACACACTCTCTAGCCCCGCCCCCTACTTAGGGGGCCGCTCTGATTGAAAAATGCCCGGGCCTAATTTTTTCCCAGTCCGACCCTGGTTCCAATAGATGTTTACTTTATTTATGGCATTTAATAATGCATCATAAAGCATTAACCCCTTAAGGACCAAACTTCTGGAATAAAAGGGAATCATGACATGTCACACATGTCATGTGTCCTTAAGGGGTTAAAGATGGGTGTTAGCTCTACCATGGAGCATCAAAGAAAGGTTATCAAAATAAAGAGATTATTGGCTTCCTCATTGAACAACCACTTTACTTAAAAATATCAAGGATCAGTTATTACATATCCATAATAAAGATATTTCTACAACCTTAGATTAGTTCAAATGCAAGGACAGGGTTATTTAATGTTAAATGGGAATAATATAGCTCATCGTGGTTTTATACGGAAATAGCAAACCACAAAATATGCAAACATAGGGGCGGGGGCCTGACCGCCGATGGGATCAGACGTGTTCCGTCTGAGCTCCCGCTCCAGGGCCCGAACAACGGGGCTAATCGGAGGTGCACCGCAAGTACCAAACTACATCGGTGGTTCCGCTGACCCCCAGCCACTGGGGAACGCGATGATACTGCTCAAACCCTCACCCGGCACACCGACAAGGACCCGAAGCAAGCTGGAGCTTGAGCCGGGATGAGACGGCCGCACTCCCGGGTCTCGGGCCGGCGTCTCGCTCCCCCCCTGGACCGGGGGGGTTTAATCCCGGTCTGCAAGGGCACCAAGTCACACCAAGCTGGGCCTAAAACAACCGCCCTGGAGTTAAATATTTACTAGGCAACATGCCTAAGATGGCCACCGCACGCCAGCCATGTGCGCTCACTCAGCACCATTAGACCACCAAGGCAGCCTACCCCAGGGCCATGTAGGTGGACTACACTAGGCAAAGGTACAGTCCAAGGGCATCAAGCAGGGAGAAATGGGGCAAACAGAGAGCGGGAACAAACCCTGTAAAGCAACCCTACAGGGGCCCACAGACCCTAGAATTGCCTGCCCCGAGGAGAAAGGCCAGAGGGACTGAAACACCTAGTTACCCTGCCAGAAATGATTTTCCTTACCAGCCCAGACATAAGCCACTGTAATCACTGTCACAAGCCAACGAAGTGGCACAGGAAGATTCCATTACATCACTGGGGCACAGGAGGCACTTACCAAGTACCGGAGTGGGCTGACACCCCAGACAAGGAACTCAGAGACTGCACCTCATAATACCTGTGGCACCAACCTTATTTTGGAATAACCCAGTGACACATGCCTGTCAAGCATGCTTAATGACACGCTTAAATGAACTCACTTGTTTACGCTAAGCATGTTCTTGGATTCCACAACAAGCGTTGTACCTGCAAACTCAGTAGACTACACCCGAAATTATGCATGGACGGTTAAGTGCACCATACCCACTGCATTCTATCCCACTTTCTCATCTCACCCTCAACTAAAATGAATAATAGACACTGTATAGCGTATATTTACATGGGGAGTGTGAGGGGAATGTGTGCTAGCATCTCAGTAACCTAGAACGAGTAGTGTACATAGAAGCCATCTTGTGATAAGGTCGCACTTAATGCATGTGAAGCGCTGCCATTATCTGGTTGTTTCTCCTTACTTGTATAAGCGCCTTAGCTAAGCAACTGATTTTATATAAGCGATTGTACACACGTTTTAGTTTTACACAGCAAAGTCAGAAAATGTTTAGATATTAAAAGCGGTGTCACTCAATTTAAACATAACTCTTAAGCTACAGTTACTAATTGACAAAGCAACTTATTATGACAGTAGTAGTTACCTAGTTGGACCTAGCCTGTATTACTAATTTAAAAATTGTGCACTTAATCTAAATGCTGTATAACAGTGAACGACTATGTGATTTTAAACTGTTTGCAATTGCTGTTGTGGCATTGTTGACATGCGACTGTTATTTCATGCACAGTAAAAATAAATAATAAAAAAAAAAAAATGAAAGCCAGCTTTGTTCAGCAAAAAATAAAAAATAAAAATTAAAAAAAATATGCAAATATAAGAGAGCAAGACAGCTCCAAAATAACAAAGAGGGCGCAGACAATCCCTAAACATACAATCACAGAACACATTTGACATGTGCAATTCGTTTCGGTTCGAATATAAATTCGGACGAATTTCGGGCAATTCGGACATTTGGGTACTTCTGAATGTCCGAATTGCCGAGGTCCCGAAGTTCCGAAATTACTGAATTTCCGAAGTGTCGAAGTGCCGAAGTTGCTGAATTTCCGAAGTGCCGAAGCACAGTATTGACTAAGTACTAATATACTTACCCAGTGGAAGAAGAAGAATGTTACACTGTATACATCCTATGGCTGCTCACTGTAAAACAAAAAACAAAAAAACACATCCCCCCTCTAAGCCCCCACCCATGCCGCGTGAGTGGGGGCTTCTAAGCTGAAGGGCGGCCTATTGCCCCCCACCACCACCCTGAGCGGCCCTAAAGTAAAATAATGGGAGGGGGACCTATTGTCCTCCCCCCCGGCCCCCACCCCTGAGCGGTGGGTGGGGGCCCTAAATTAGAATAAGGGAGGGTACCTAATGTCCTCCCCCTGAGCGGTGGGTGGGGGCCCTGAATACTAATTAGGGGGGAACCTAATGTCCTCCCCCCTGGACCCCACCCATGAGCGGTGGGTGGGGGCCCTAAATTAGAATGAGGGGAGTACCTAATATCCTCCTCCTGGCCCCCACCCCTGAGCGGTGGGTGGAGGCCCTAAATACTAATTAGGGGGGGAACCTAATGTCCTCCCCCCTGCCCCCACCCCTGAGTGGTGGGTGGGGGCCCTAAATACTAATTAGGGGTGGACCTAATGTCCTCCCTCCTGGACCCCACCCCTGAGTGGTGGGTGGGGGCCCTAAATACTAATTAGGGGGGGAACCTAATGTCCTCCTCCCAGTCCCCAACCACTGAGTGGTAGGTGGGGGCCCTAAATACTAATTAGGGGAGGACCTGAGCGGTGGGTGGGGGCCCCAAATACTAATTGGGGGGGGACCTAATGTCCTCCCCACTGGCCCCCACCCCTGAGCGGTGGGTGGGGGCCCTAAATACTAATTAGGGGGGGGACCTAATGTCCTCCCCCCTGGCCCCCACCCCTGATCGGTGGGTGGGGGCCCTAAAATAGATTGGGGGGGGGACCTAATGTCCTCCCCCTGGCCCCCACCCCTGAGCGATGGGTGGGGGCCCTCAATACTAATTAGGGGAGGACCTGAGCGGTGGGTGGGGGCCCCAAATACTAATTGGGGGGGGACCTAATGTCCTCCCCCCTGACCCCCACCCCTGAACAGTCAGTGGGGGCCCTAAATACTAATTTGGGGGGACCTAATGTCCTCCCCCTGGCCCCCATCCCTGAGCGGTGGGTGGGGGCCCTAAATTAGAATGAGGGGGGGGACCTAATGTCCTCCCCCTGGCCCCCACCCCTGAGCGATGGGTGGGGGCCCTCAATACTAATTAGGGGGGGACCTAATGTCCTCCCACCTGGCCCCACCCCTAAATTAGATTGAGGGGGGGAACCTAATGTCCTCCCCCCTGGCCACAGGCTGCTCACTGTTTACTAGACATGCCCCTACTCGCGGTATAGCGAGTAGGGGCATAATTTACTAATACTAAGTAAACTTTACTTAGTATTAGTAAATTTGGCTGAAAGACCAATTAAGGTCTTTCAGCCTTTTGGTAGATAACTCCCTAATACCGTGGGAATTAGGGAGTTATCTACCAAGCGGCTGCAAGAGAAGTTCCGAAATTGAGAAGTTCTGAAGTGTCGAAGTGCCGAAGTTGCTGAAGTGTCAAAGTTCTGAAGTGTCGAAGTCCCGAATTTCGGAATGCCGAACCGAACCGAAAAATTTTCCCATGCACATGCCTAGAACACATATTGCCTCTGTTGTTCCTTGTGATTTCCTAAAATATATTCGAAGCATATTTTAATAATGTGCACTCATATATATGGGTAGTTTTTTTTTTTTACAAAGCAACCCTAGTCTTATATTTTTTTTTTAGTTTTCCACATATTCAATTTAGTAGTTTGAAAACAATATAACCAGGCAGTGGAATTTATAACATTTTCCAGAACATGGAGTAATGTCATGACCGATAAATATTTTTTCAATTATATCCTTTGCTTAAGACAAATTAAACCAATGGTTCTTAACAATTTAACATAGGGACCGATATTCTAAATACATTGCACTAATTAAGTAATTAATTTGAAAAAAATCTGCATCAAAACACCTTCATTAGACTATTCAGTGTCAAAAAGGTATCTTTGTTTTTGGGGAAGTAGCCTGGAGCCGTGATAAACATTGGGAATCCGCTGAAATAGCATTGAGATTCCATTTTGGGTTTTATACATACATAGAATATGTTTGTATTGTATATTAAATTCTGACTAATATAACCTGGAGTTATATTCAGGATTCTAGTGTGTGCTGGGGCCCAGTAAGTGGCGTGTAGATCTGTATCTTATCTCAAACCACAGTATGGGTAATCGCTGTTTAAAAATGCTGGGTAGTGAAATTCCAAAAGGGTATAAGAAATATGTGTACCTTTATACTTACTGGTCAATCAGCTTCTAGCCAGTTCACACCTTTCTGCAACCTAATATTAAGCTCCATTAGTGCAAGTCCTGGGGCATTTAAACAGCATAACAAAAGTAAATTGTCAGCACACGCTGTCCTAGTTGGCTGAGAAATCACAGAACTTTGTGATGGAATGGTTTGATAAATATAACACCTATTTTCAACCATCCTGCGAAACCCAAAAAAAACACAAACAGATGTCTCCTGTGTGTTTGACAAATCATTTTAATAGAAAAAGACCTACAGGAAAATGCCACATAAGCAAATATACTCTTTTTTGAAATATGCACAGTTCATCACCAAGTGCACTATTAAATCAATTTTACGAACTCTGTTTTCTGCATGTAACTCCCCACCCAGGCAAAAATCTGATTATCTGATAACTGACAATATACAACAGCATTTCACATTTTATAAAGTAACCTTTATTATCCATGGGAGAAATTGGACTGTGTTCAGTCTGTCTCATAGTGCTCTGTGATAGAACCAGGCATATAAATAATATGCTTAAATTAAAAACACCTCAAAACAGATAGGTGTGGTGTTTCAGCCATTTTATGAGTGACATGTTCATCTCACTCATGGCCATATTGAATGAGTTATACTACATCAGGTAAGGTTGGCTACACTGTATAAACCAACATTTCTAAAGACTCATAATTACTAGAAATGCCTAATCCAAAAAGTATAATAAATTACTCTAAAATTATGTCAATCTGAGAAAAGAAAAATTCAGCAAAAATATTTGAAAAAGAGGAATAAAAAGTTTCAAAAACACAGCTTATTTTAGCCCATTGCAGGAGAAAAAAAGCAGAGAAAAAAGTCACCAATGTATGAAAGGTGTAGTAAGAGTGTAGTTTTATACGTAAACATGGGGCATGCGCACAAACCTATTACAAATGTCAAAATGAATGCAACAATATTTGTAAATGACACCCACTGTATTGTACGAGGGAGCATCTAGTTTTGGATTTTACCAGTATCTTAAATATTCCACAGGCCAGAATGTGGTATGTGGTCAGGATCCAGTTCTACAGGAATATTACGACACATATGAAGATAAATGTGCTGAGATATATGGAAGAATTACAGGAGTCAAATAAGCAGTGAAATATTATATATGCAGCTACCTGTGACATGGAATCTAAAATTGTAAATGGGTCAAAATATGATATATGGGAAGAAATGGAGCAGATACAATGTGAAATTTGACAATAGAGTGTACTGCCACCTCTAGTGGCAGTCAGTCAGACGAATACCTCAGTTGCTTCCTAGTCCAGTGCTGCACAGCATGCAACATTGGTGTTCAACGTCTCCACACTCTGCATGGAGACGCTGAATATTTCCTAGAGAGATTCAATGCATCTCTATGCAGGGCGGTGTTTTGCTCCTGCATGCACAAAGCATCCCAATGCTTTCCTTGATGATCTCAGACATGGAGGCCGCAGTGAGACCATCTTGGTGACGAGAAAAGGTGAGTAAAATCATCTTTTTAAC